TTTTCTTCACGGCCACACACCTAACCCGACAAGGTAATATTACCTTACAGCTGTCAAACCGAATCTGGTAAGCGTCTTCTTTTTAATGAGATATCATTTGATGAGGCTTGGCTTGGCTTCCATAAGATCGACATTAGTGCTTCAAGCGGAGGGCCTGGCGCAAATGATCGTCGTTCGATAATCGTGGGTCCCGGGGCATTGCAATACAACGGTCTTTTGCGTAACGATTCGTAGGTCAATCGCGCATCGTTCTTGAGAGCATGAGGTTTTTACCTGTGACAATCTGCATTTCTATAACATAAAAAGGGCGATCTGCCCATTTTGGTAATGTGCCCGACTATATTAAAACAAAATTTTTTTTACAAGTTTTAAATTTTGACCCGGCTGGGTTATGAAAACCAATGAATTAATTTTGCATAGCCTAATGCTATAATGATCAAAACCTTATTACCGTAATTTTTATAATACCGGTATATAAAAGTAAAAATATTTTCTTGCCAATTTTAAAATCTTTCAATCTTTACTGCATTCTCAACAACTTTACTTTTTCAATTTGCATATCATAAAATTTTCACGCATGTTGACAAGGGTCAACGGATCGAAAAGATAGGGGAGAATGGTCAGGGGTTACACGCCATGTGCTACAACCTCTGCCTTGATGACATAGGTCGGGAATCGAGACATCAGACCGCAGAAATTTCATGCGAATAAATCGACGTAACTGAAAGCCACCGACCACGATTAGTATCTAAGGAAGCAAAAAATAACTTACGATACTCTGTCCTCTTTCAACACAACCAAGCATTACAACCGTCTCTTTTTTCTCGACCCAACCCTCCCCACCACACACAGTGGTCTCCTGATTCTGCCATTTTCCTATTTAACAGCCGGCCTGCTTCGAGCAGGCGGGAAACCACCGGCTGATGCTGCTTCTCACTCGTTCTACTGTTACGATGATACCCGGCGCAATCATCGTTTCAGTTCAAATTACTCAGCTCAAATTACTCACAATGTATTCTGCGGACTTAAAGTCCTTTAATTGGATTTATTTCCGGTACCTTTGGCTAGCCGGCATTCTTCCAAACACATGACCACTCGTACCTGTGCTTTTCGATTAAAAAAAAACATTTCAAATCGGTACGTATAATTCGATTATATATATACCAATTTGAAAGATATTTCTTAATTGATTTTGAAAATGTAAAGTTGTTAAGAATGCAGAAATATTTAAAATTGGCAAGAAAAAATGATTATTAAGCGTTATATAACTACTATTATTTTTTAGAGGAATTCTTTGCGTACATCAGTTTCGTGTAACATCACGTACATCAATTTTTTTTTGGCCAATGAAATTGCAGGACTAGCTCCCGAAATTTTCGGATTTTTGAGGCGTAGCAATTTTCTTTGGCTAAAAAAAATTGATGTACGTGATGTTACACGAAACCGATGTACGCAAATAATTCCTCTATTTTTTATAAAAATTACGTTTATAATTTTTGATCAAAAATCTATCATTGTACAAAATAAATGGGAATAGACATGTTTGATTCTATTAGTTACACGGAAAAACATTCAGTGCTTACGTTATCTTTAGTAGATGAATAATCAGTTTTCATCTACGGCACAACTTACTGTGTAGATTTTCATAACAAGAACTTTATTTGCTTAGTTAATATTTTATTTGCTTAGTTAATCTTTTAAGTTTCTCGGGTTAATCCAGCCAATGTCAATATAATACATCGCTTAACAAAAAAGTTTCATATACTCGTTTATTTATAGTACCAATAAATTCCTCTTAGGTTTTAACAACTGTTCATTTTGATCAATATGATATCTTTTAATACAACCCCAAAAAGTTTACACATTTTATACTACATATGTGAGAATCATTTTTAATAGTAATATAGAAATTTTACCTAGAGCCCTAGAAAACATTGCAATATTCTTCTGGTAAGTCCTTCAGCGGTGTAAATTCAGTGTCTAAGATTCCAGAATATATTGGGTGATCATACGAAATTCGCAATACATCTACATTTTTTATCTTATTCTATGATAATGCCTGGTCATCTGAACTTGTTTTGGATGCAACCTAAACTTGAATTAAACAAACAATAAATAAACTTATATTATTTAAATGCTTTTTAGTATCTTTAAGTTTTCTTCAGCAGAATCGACCTAGGCTGGTTATTAATGAGTTATTGATTATATTAATTATGTTTTAACTAGCTCTAATTTCTAAATAAATCGAAAAAGATTACCGTATATACCACGGAATTCACTTTTATGAGATAGATTACTGAATTGCAGCTTACGGTAGGATTAATTATAGCATAGCATCCAAATGCCATAATACCACCTCAATGCCAAATGCCGCAATATCTTAATTCCACAATACCTCAATGTTGAAGTTCCAATTATTTTCCCGACATCTATTTTCCTGACAACCACTTTCCCGCATTATACATGGCGTAGAGCTATTGCAAATTTGCCGAAAGTATTTCGGATTATTACAGCAATTTTCATAATTTGGGACAAACGAAAATTTGGCCAAGACTGAATCGATAAATTTCTGATCTCGTAACTTATCGATCCGGTTATCGAAAAATTTTTCAGTTGACCCAGAATTTATGAGAACAGTGTAAATTATCGAAATATTTTCTGCAACCTTATATTAAAAATCAATGTCAAAATAATTTCAGAAGTGCTGCAATAGCTTCTACGCCACGTATGCCCAACACTTTCATTTCCCCGGTAATCACTTTCACTTCCTTTAATGCCGCATTATTATGTTCCATACATTTTCATCTTTCAACATTTTATACTTTCATTCCTTCGTTTTTGTTAAAGCTATAATTCTGTTAAACTAGTTTTTTGTTTCTATATATTATAATTTTCAAAGTTATTTTATACGTAATCAGAATTTGGGTCTAATATACGTATCTCAAAAAAATTGTCTGTATGTTTTATTAACCAATCAAAATTAATTATCTAAAAAATAACCAATCATATTCGATTACGTTAAGATTTATCACTTTTAAAGGATTTTTTTTGCTGCTCGGTACTGTATTAAATTTAATTTAAAAATTATTTTTAAGGAAATCGTATAACAATACCATGATATTTAACACAAGTATAACACAAAATTTAAATAAACATTGAGCAAAACTTTTTAGGATAAAATTTGCCGTTCTGAAATATCTTTGATTTATCGATTTCTTGTACTAAGTTCAGTATATCGTAATTAGGAGTGTTATCGGCTCATTCAGCTCTATTAATTAGTTTTTACAATAATTAAATATATAAGCCGGCCAAGCTGATAACATCCTTAATCGCAATTTCTATTGGTGCCTCAGCTAAACGGATTATGTAATTACTTTTTATCCAGCAATATAAAACATATAGAACTAATTTAGAATTAATCATCTTAGCAAGATTGATTGACCTTTAAGAGAGTGCAGATGTAATTGCGTCATTAATTGCAGTTCAACTCAGTTCAATTCAATCATTCAATTGTACTTTTTCAATTATATCAAAATTGAATTCCGTAAGTTTTATTTTGTCGCAAGTTACAATTCACCTGTACTACTATATTTTTTACTTAGATCTCAAAAATTACACTTTAAAATGCGAATACTTGCCTACAATATATTGGTGAGATTTAAAATCAATGTATTAATCTGTCATTTTCACACTTGAGAAACTTCGCTAAAAAAATATTAGCTAAAAATAGAAGTATGTAAATTGACGATCATTCTAAAAATAATCACAATTAGTCAAAACCTTCACCTCGTTCTGTTCAGAATATAAAATGTATATTCTTGCTTATAAGTCAAATTAAAAATTTTGTTTCAAATTGCATTGCTATTGGACGATTGTTTACGGTATATTAGAGTTTACACCAGTTCAAACTTTTATAACTTAATCGTAACAAATTTGTATTGAAATTGATCAAAATGTTTTATAGGATAATTTTATTCCATAAATCGCGGGCATTCCGATAGCACATGATTTTGGTTTTCGCCTTAAAATTTAAATGTGTACATATAAGGGAAAAAAAATATAACATATTTGGTTGCAGATTCGGTTTTCTTTTCTTTCTTTTATTCTATTAAATTTTTTTTTTAACGTTAAGCAAAAACCAAAAATGGAAGTTAATGAAAGAACAAACAGCGAGATTGTGATAATGTAACAGAACTGATTGAATGTTCATGTGGGACAAATATTCAACGGAATAATTAAGTACATATCAACATAAAATTCCATGATGAGCAAAAGTATCGTCAAAAACTTGTACTTTGATAAATCGGAATAGTGTAACCATAGTATCCTAAAGGAATAATAACAGCATAGAATATACAAAAAAGAAGGCTTGATCATCATTTATACGATTACAAGCGTTAGCGCTCAAACAACGGAAATGTGTTACATGGATTAATTTTACGGAATAATTTCGTTAATGATTTCTTATATAACGCGTTCTATTTCCCACTCATTTATCCATCCATTTATTCACGGACTATTTCCACCGAAAAACATTAGATACTTTCTATAATATCTATTTTTTAACCTTTAACATTTTTATTGTAATTCGCGACAAAATAACATACGCATACAATTTTATTATCATAGTAGTAAAGATGCCAAAAGCTTTATCTCGCCCTAAAAAACGTCATCCACCATCAACTCATAACATCAACATTCTTGAACTCGTCACAAGCATAAATGTACCATTTCCACCAAAAATAACGATTAAGGACCTACTTGCGAAAGTCACATCCCACGATAATAAACCTGGGAGAACACCTAATGCATTTATATCTTACAAGATGGTACTTCATCGCGCACTTAAATCGCAAGGCTTTAATTACCCAATTTCGGTTATTTCAAAGATAGCAAGTTTAAAGTGGAATTATTATGAACCGAACCATGTTAAAAGCCATTATGTAAAGTTGGCAGATGAAGCTAAACAAGATCACAAAAAATCAGGTCCATTTTTTATTATGACTCCAGATTGCAAAAGTAAAAAAGAAACTAATCCTAAAAAAGAAATCTTTGAAGTTGAGAGTGATAGTTGCAACGTGAGTATTCATTTGAATAATGAAGAACAAGGATCATACAGTGATCAAACTTTTGAACAGCAAACAATGGATTTTTTAAACGGGTTTTCTGCTTTTTCTGCTCCATTCGTTTTAAATGAGCCTTCTACATTCTTAAATGAATCTTCTACATTTTTGGATGAGTCATCTGCATCCTTAAATGAACATTCTACATTTTTAGATGAGTCTTCTGCACCCTTAACACCAATTTCGAACGATTTTTTACAAAATCCTAATTTATATTGGGCATATTTCATAAATAACGGTTGTTTTTATATTTATCCATATCCATTCTACATTATAGACAATACTTGTGATCCGAATTGAAAATATTAATTTTGTATATATTATATTAGGCTTTTCTTACTTTTTACTATTGATATATAAATAAAATAAAATAAAGTTTTGTTCGATATTTTACTATTATTAACCTTCTCTTCATCCTCTTCATTTTTTCGAGAAGTCTTAAATCCTGATAAATCTATCATAAAATGTTTTATTCTCTGATTAAAATGCTTCATATATTATCGCATTATTATTACACCTTTGTCCATAATGAATTACTTCCTCTCTCACATTGAGCCCGGAAAATTATCGGCATTTCTATGACCGATCAATGTATGAATGCATGTGATACGCGTGCACTTATTTGTGCGAGAGTGATAAGGGAATTAGCTTCGGAGAACGTATAATGTAAAAAGTGATTATCCCGGATCAGCTCGACACGTAAGCAAAGCGAAGGAAAACACGAAACAAATGAAAAAAGCGAAAATACAAGAAAACGAGTGTTTAAGCACTAATTAAAATGACGAGAATGTAAATTTTTAAATTTACGAACTTAGTTTATTTTTACGTTGAATTTCGCACAAATAAGTATTTCCATATGATACGAACTCCTTGGGTTACCTAGTTTCATTATTATTCTATTTTTGCGAGTGATGGTAATACAACTTCTAAAAAGAAAACACCACTCAATGATTTCAATTTTTGGTTATCCTATATCGGATGTGTAAGAGAAAAGCGTAAAAAAGAATAGGAAAGAAAAAAAGTGAAGATACACAAAAATTAAAATTTAAAATGATCTTTGTGAACTAATTAAAATTACAGGAATAAAAAGTTATATATACGTAACAAGTATCAGTTTGCTTCTATAACTCTTAAAGCTAACGGTTATTTGATATAGAGTACCAGTTCACCTTATTGTACACTTCTTATGTGAGTACCTATCCATTTTCATGCATGTTATTGGGTCAATTCTAATACGTGATACACAAACTTTGTTCAAATTTGTGTATCACGTTTAGAAATAACCCAATAAGATGCTGAAAATGGTTAGGTGCTTACGTCAGACATGTACAATATAGTGGTTTGATGTCCAAAAAATTTTACCATTTCGTGTAACCCGAGCTTCTGGAATTCGGCCGACAATTCAGATTCGGACCTCGGATCGGACTTGCGAAGCACTAATACAAGCCTAATACAAGCTAACTAATATTATAGCAAAATTACAATCCGAGAAACTTAGTACATCGGTTAGTGGGTTTATTAGCAAAATTCGCCAAAATTTGTGATTTTCGGGCTCGTGTTACACGCAACACAACCCAAAAAAGGAAATCGAATTTTGTAAATAAATTAAGTGCGTAAAGATAGAAGTTTAGGGTTAGAGCGTTAACATTAGAGGCTATAACAATAGATTGTTACTCGTTATATGTAAAATTTCGTTTCCGAAAATTTTAATTAGTGAA